TGGCCTCCGAATAGTTCAAATTTCGTTCTTCTGGTTGAGTATATATCACATTTGAGTTAATTAGGTTGATTTTAATATAAATATCTCTGACAGGACCACACCAAATATATTAATGAAACTAATTGACTCTACGACCTATAATACACATAAGTTAATAATATACCACCTGAAAGTATTTCTCCAGCTTTGCTCTTTGAAAATTGCGAGAGTATAAAATGTTTGGTTGCAGCCTTTCTTACTTGTTGCTTTTGTTTTGCTCACTAAACGCTATATAACTCGCTGATGCACTAGATACCATCGGGCTAGGGATATAATCAATATTTATTTATTTATTAAATATATTGAATAACCTAAGTCTTAATCACTCCAAGCAACTCAAACACTAGCACTTTTAACTCGTTATTAATTATTCAAAACCTAGTCGATAAATAGATACACCGAGGCTGAGGTGGTAATGGTAATTAGAAGGAGATTAATAAATCAAATCAGCAAATATTTATTGAGTATAATTATTTGCCAAAAGTCTCAACTGCGGGCGATTTTTCATCATTCTGTCACACGGTATAATTTTTGCAATTACATTAATTTAAATTTAATATTGCATATATATACACACGTGGGACTATAAAATCGTGTGCGTGTATATGTATGTGCATGTACTTCGCGTTTGTATTGTTGTTTATGCGAAAAATCACCCAGCTAATCATTATTCCAACACTTATCGCTGATGCTGTGGCGATTGGGTCAAATTGTCACAACATTTCGATCGCCGTTTTTTGTTTTTTCTAAGCGAAACGGCTCTGCTCACTGTTCGCCTCTATCTGCCTTATGGAGTGCTGCGAGTGTCTCAGCACACTTAATCGGGTTAGACACACATTGTTTGCGCTTAAATCCCCAATTAAAGGAAAGACGAAATCTATTTGTTTACAACGCTCCAGATGCACAATTTTGTTTCTTTTTTGAAATGTCATGAATTGTTTTAATATTATTTTTATTTTTGTTAAATGTGATAATTATAATTTTCCCATTCGTTATCGCTAGCGACGTTCAGGTCGGAATAGTACTATTATTGTCAAACTGCTCATATATTATATATTTAGTTTCTATATTTTGCATTAAACGGTTACACATTTATTTCATTTATTTTGAGCCAATATATACGAGGTGTGTTCAAAAGAAAAGGTGAATTTTGATTTTTCGCGGGCTGTATAATTCGATTATCGATATTTTGTTTTTGTTATAATCGGACACGTATGTGTATCATGTGCTTGCATTAGGAGCCAGTTTCGATTAGTAGGTTGTTATTGACAACAAAAAAGCTTAGTCACGGTTTTGTATGCTTTTCGATTTTTGACTTTTGAAAGAAATCGATCAAAGAATATGGAATAAAAGAAATAAAGGGCTCCAAGGCACTTGGGATATTGACTGTGGCGTTTAGTGAGTCCACTTTGTCTCAAAAAAGTGTATATAAGTGGTACAAGCACTTTACAGAAGGCCGAGAAGATGTTTAAGACGATGAGCATCCTGGATGTGCGCACACGTTAACAAGCGAAGAAAACATCAAAACAGTGAAAAAAATCGTTTCTGAAAATCGTCGAATCACTATTAGGGAAGTTGCAGAGGATGTTGGCATATCAATCGACTCGTGCCATTCAATTTTCTCGAATGTTTTGGGCATGAAACGTATGGCAGTGAAGTTTGTTCCGAAATTGCTAAATTTTGAGCAAAAGCAATTAGTATCGCTTTTTAGTCCAAAAACAAACAAAACCGTAATTATGCCTCAACCACCGTATTCACCAGATTTGGCTCCCTGCGACTTTTTTCTACGAGATCAAGCCAGCATCGAAGAAAGGGCTGATGGCCATACCGAAAAGCGCATTTCAGAAGTGCTTCGAGTATTGGAAGAAACGTTGGCACAAGTGTATGTATTATATCCGTGGGGGATTACTTTGAAGGGGACAAAATAGATTTGGATGAATAAATAAGTATTTTAAAGAAAAATCAAAATTCACCTTTTTCTTTGAACACACCTCGTATATGTATATATATATATATATATATATTGATCGGTTTAGTATATTTTGCTTAATAACAGCGTGGCTAGGTGCAATAACTCTTACACACGACAGATATGCAGTTGATTTTTATGAAGATGTCACGATTTTTGTTGAACTAATTTTCGAAGGTAATTTCCAATTTCGATTTTAAAACTCAAATTTCATTATTTTTAAATTAACAGCTGCAAAATTTAGAAACCCAGAAACTTTTTACAGTTGCCTGCAGCATCGTACTAATTAGTGGCGAATCGAACAATCAACTCGTGTAAATGAAATAGACTACTATAATTATATAGAGATAAAATCAAGCGGCTATATACAAAAGGGGATACACAATTTTGATTGCGTAGCAGAAAATTTAACAGATTTGTGATGTGAAAAATTTGTAGAGAAGTCATTGATAAGCGATGACTTTTCATTATATAAAACAATAGCTCAGACTTTTCCACACTTTCATTCAGGCCCTTACTCATTACATCTAAAACTTTGTTATAAACTGGGTTATTGTGATTGAGTTTTCCATACAAACACTGGATTCTGATTGTTAAGTTTGTATCCAGATATGTATAGGCTATAGTGCACTGATATCGGCAGTTCCGACAAAAGCGTAGCTGCTTAGTGAGGAAAGGTCAGGTGCAAATTTCAAATCGATAGCTTAAAAACTGAGAGACTAGTTCGTATATATTATATATAGACAGACAATATATATATCATATATTTTATAGGGTCTCCGACGTTTCCTTCTGAGTGTTACAGACTTCGTGGCAAACTTAATATACCCTGTTATGGATAAAAAATGTATCCCAAAGTAGCCAGTATATGCCAGCACTGTATCTCAAAAGGTATAAAACATTTCTTTGGTACACGTGTCGTATGAGTAATATTTTGTTATGTGTAAATATTTCTTAAATCATATACATACATATCCCATACACATTTCATTTGTTGTAAATATGAGCCTATAAATTATAAGAGAAAACAATCTGAAAAATACTTCACACATTTTAACACAAACAACATGAAGATAAGCGTATATATCTACGATTATCTACTTTACTATCTACTATAGATGTACATACATATATGTACAGATTTTCGGTACTATCTGGTCACAATCGACTTTTAATAGCTTTCATAGCTCATAAATATTTCTATTTAATATCACCGGCCACTTTCGCTAATCCCGAATCGTCATATTAACAACCTGATTTGACAGCATAAACAATAACATTGCCTTGATTGCGCCAATAAAGTAGAATAAGTGATATTTTTTCACAAGACATTATCATAAAGTACAAAAGTACGTATGGATAAGTATGTATTTATTTGAGCGATTATACATAATAGTGTGGGTAATTAAATATTCACATATACATACATTTCGCAAATAGTGTTCGAAAAATCTCCCCAAAACTAGTATGAAGAGGTATATAAACAGATGCAGACTTTGCATACCAGAGGTCCCCTCACGTATATGGTTGCCAACCCACACACATATGTACATGTATTTTCCCTCAATATTAATGGTTCAGCTAGTCTACAAGCTGTAGAACACTGTTTATCAGTAGCGCAAAAATTTAATAACAAGTCTGCAGCGCTTAAAATAGCATGGCAAGTGGTTATTTATGGACTATTCCATATTTATGTTTATATTTATACAATTATTTACAACAATCAAGCATTTTTTCTTATTTGATGAGTTATTATTACACATGTCTGACCACTTTGGCTTACGCGCTAAGGAGTTCAATAGTTAATACGTACGAAACTCTTTGTTTTTGCTATAGCAAGATTGCAGACAGTAAACAAGACTGGGATATGCCTGGACCCTAACGTGGATAGGTATGTTTTTATTATTGTTGTCGATCACGCCTTGGAGGCCAATGTATTTTTAAAGAATCATTACAATTAGCGCTGACAACATACATATACAAGCATTTATAAGTGTTCACATACATGCATACATGAATATATGTATATACAAATGTAAATATGTATAATATTCCATAAGTCACTCAGAAGCCATACAGACGGAAGCACAAACAAATACGGCGTGTGACAATTCGAAATAAAGACTGCAAACTCTGAGTTTAAAATGTCATACTTTGTTATTATTATTTAATAATCAATAATATTATGGTTCACGAGCACTCGAGCGAGGTATTTTCTACTTTTATACATACAAATATTATGTGTGTGTTTGTATGTAAGAAATATTATTATTTTAAAATTATTTTAATAATATATTTTTCAATTTCTTATATGCCAATTAACATGTTCACAAAAGTGTATACATACGTATATACAAATAAACAAATGTTTGTGCGTAAGTGCAGGCTATGTATTAAATTAAGTTAAGCAGCCAATAGGAAGCCAGTTAGAGTAGTATATGCCAGCCGATTGGAGGATATTTTCGCTATACTTGCCACTTTTTTCATTGTAATTGCTCTCATTTCAATTATGTACTCTACTAGCGGCTACATGGTCAATTTTTAGAATCACCTTTTTCAAGAGGGTCTCAACGGACGAGGAGATTTTAGGAGTACACACTATCTGAAACAATCAAGATTTTAAACCATATAAGAATTGCTAATTAAGTATGTAAATACGTACGCTTTATATCAATTCAAAATGACGGATGTGTGAAAAAATTTTAAATTTTTGGCTGGAAAAATTAATATTAATTTTTTGTAATAATAAAAAAAAATCTACAAACGATTTACTAAATAATATTACCGTTAAAATTTCGAGTGAATACGATATACTTATGACGCACGCTTTGTAAAATGAAGTTTTGAGAAAAATGCGTTTAAAGTTTTATATATTTTAAAAACAATGGTTTTGAGACCCTAAAGTACGTTTACCTTAATTGGTACACCTAATATAACAGCCTAAAAATAAACCGAGAAAGTTTTTTTTTAGTTCTGTACTGGCCTAACAGCTTAATTCGCCTCTTATTGGCAAATAAATATAAAAATTTGTTTTTATGAAAAAATGCACTCCTAGAAGTACAAACTATCAGGAAGGTAGTTAGGGTAGATGTTTAACGGCGCACCCAAGCTTTTAGGAGGCCCATTGTGAAACCACCCACTTGAATCCCCTCACTCTATTATTATATATCCTCTCTGAACCACACCGAAACACGTCGAAGAAACCCTCGCTATTAGAACATACCCTCGATATGGTTTTCAATATTTATCAATATTTATTAATTTCATAATACGTTTTTATATTCAGTAAATATGTAGTGATCATTTAGGGTCCATCATACCGACGCCACAAATCTAACATACATACATAAAATACCACATCTATACCACTCAGCTTACCCTATCTTACTTGTATAAGTATACACATGCATACATACATATATATAAAATAAGCAAACAAAAAAAGTTATAGATTATTCAGGTTAAGCGCCTTCACTTCAATCAATGCTCAGCAATAAATAAACTGACACTTCGTCGGAAGTTTTTGAAGATGTAAGTCACACAGTTGAACAGTCAAAGCGCTCGATCATAAATTAACGCGAATCGTGTGAAAGTTTTCAATTTTATACAGCGGTAATGATGATAATAGTGCTAAATTAGAACAAAATAGAACACAAAGCAAAAAATTATAACCAGAAAAACTGCAACACCAAAAATAAAATAATAATAATTTATTATAAAAACAAAATAAAAAATTATTTATAATAAAACAAAGAATAAATATACAATTCTATTAGTAAAAATATAACTGTGATTACTGCGTACCTTTACAAAACAACGACTTATTTTCAAACGATATTTTAATATACTATTAAATAAAAAATAAATAAAAATAAAATATATTTTTATTATAAACAAATTTGTATACACACTATATATAGACAAAGTAGAGCTTAAGAAATATTCAGATTGTGAATTTTGCTTGACACGAGAAGGTCATTCGCTTATATAATCGCACAAAACGTATCGTACAATTCTCAGAGGTGAGTTTTTTGATTGAAAATATATGTACTATATAGTATTATGTAAATATATAAACATAAATCCAACTTTCTCATATTTGTTAAAAAAATAATATTAATATTTTATAAACACCGTTAAACCCTATTAGCTGAAAAAAAATTAATAATAAATTTTTAAAACAAAATTTTGAAGTTTAAATACAATATAATGAAAAAATTTTGCCATATTTGATTAAAAATTTATATATTAATTAAAATAATAATACTCTATACATTATGAAAATAAAAAAGTTTTAGGTATTGTATAAAATCGGTAAGAACTTTCGCTTACTTTAAAAATTCTTCTCATTAATTAATTTATGATGAGAGGTTACGAGCCATAACCAACGTCACCACCAAAAGATTTTACAAGAAAAAGAAAGTCCATATATTCAATAAATATGTATCAAACAAGTGAAAAATATTTAGAAATTTAAAATTTAGCACTCCAAACCTTTTTACGCAAAAAGAAGCAACCCAAGCCTCACCTCGCTCCTTTCAAAATTATGACTTGAACTCTGAAACTTTTTGCCACACATTAACTTTCGCCTACTCTAATTCAATAACAACCACGCTAAGATTATATTTAAAGCATTAACATATTTATATACATAATTTACCGCCAGTTCAAGCAAACACATTCATAGGTACATAACTCGTGCATACGCCAGATGTTTTGCCTTCTGGCATATAAAATGCTAATGTGATTACCCTCTGTACTAGCAAGCATTCGTATATTTGTGTGTATTGTATCAGTAAATGTGCTTACTCTAATTATAATGCATTGATTGACACATTAAAATCACTTATGCAACTGATGGCTATTTAACCAATAAACTTTACAGTTATAATATAGTACTCATGATATCACACACATATACATATATATGCATGAATATAGCAAACTAATAATCGCTGATAAGAAGAATTGGATGAAGAAAAATAAACGCACGCTTTCCAAGCATGAAATGTAAAAGTATGTATGTACATATATGTATATGTATTAGGGTGTCCATTAATTCAAGGTTGACTCTTTTTTTTTGTTTGTTGACGCAAACTATTTTTTTAAGAGTTGCAATTGAAGTTATGCAATAAATTTACTATATTCATACAAAACACCATGACGTATGAGCAACAGACATATGAGTATATGGTAAATAACTTGTCAAATCATTAAGATTCCATGTTAAATATATAGGAAAGTTAAATTATTTAGACACGTCTTAGATTGAAAATAAAGAGCTTGTTTAGGTTGGATAATTTTTTAGGGCAAAACCTGAAACTACAGGTGGCGTCTGCAACATCAACTTGGGCAATAACGGACACCTTAATATATATGTATTCGGGTATGATTTGGCAATATGCACAATTGCAATATTCACTTACAAATATTTGCACGATTGCATAAACTAGCTCGCTGGTACAGGTTGCTAATGTGCAGTTAAGCTATTAGTTATTAGCCAATTAAATGCGCCCGATAATGGAAATTAAGTAAATTTGAAATAATAAAGTTATTAAATTGATGAATATTTGAAAGGAAAATGTTTTCGACTCAGTTTTACTATGTATATAAGATATGTAACCTAAAGAAGTTGCATTAAGTTATTTCACTTTGTTTCAGATATTCGATTTAAAGTCAAAGCGAAGCAATAGCAGCAATTAATAACAGCCGTATTTACTGTAGTATTAAATGGCCGATACATGCGTCATTAAAATAAGCGGAAGGGTGGACAAAATTATATTCGGTATCCCATATACCTAGCTAATAGATCCATATCTTGCATTTTTGGAATGTTATCACTATGTAAAAATTAATAAGCTCATTTAACTGTATTAATATATTTCACATATTGATCGAGGAGTATGCAAACAACTTTCCGCTCGTTTTTAAAAGAGTTACCATATATAAAAGATATTATTTGGATTTGGGTTTTGATTAAATCTTTGTATTAGTGTTTTAATCATCTCTCGTATTAAATTGAGCGATGAGACAATACTCCAATTGTTGAACTGATTCTTATGAACGCTAATTATATCATTCAAAATTCGATTTATATGTGCCTAGCGTTATTGTTTATCAATCTATAGCACTATTATTAAAATATAAAAAACGTAAGCGTAGTTTTATCGTTCATATTTCCAATGTCGAAGAGCAACGGAATGCTCTCACTGAGTTGAAGCAGTCCAGTTAATTCAGGAAATAACTACATAATATCCAGGGTAGCCTCGAGCATACTTCAAAAGCTCTTAAACCACATGTGTCTCTTCTTACTGTAACCTCTAGTGTAAAAATTTTAGCGTCATAGCTTAATTATGTAGTTACAATAGTTTGAAAACGTGTAAATATTCCAAATCTTTTTGAAATATCATACACAACAGCAACGTTCTCAGGGAGGCAAGGAACACGTATAATTACGAAAACCGACGGACAAACGCAAAAACCAAACTCGCTATATCATTAAGTTTCATCACCATAATCATTTTAATGCACATAACCCAATAAATATATTAGTTTAAGGCGTTAGAAACAACTTTCACGTATTAGTGATAGAAAAAAAATGTATAATATAGGAAATTATTTTCGAGTTAGTTAAAAATCTGTAAAATCTTTGCAGGAAAACATCAAAACGAAGAGCATACCACAGCTCCAGAATGTACCTCGCTTAAAATTGGCTTTAACTAAGGATAACTCTGAACAAGTGTTACATTTGTAAAAACTCCTTTCGAATTTTGGATGGATCATAAGGGTTATACCGCCGAAGTTTCTCCTTTTTACTCGTTGAATTTTAATTAAATTCAAGCCAAAAAGCCCACAAAATTATTTAAACAATATTGCCGTTATTTGAGGGTAATAAGAAAATGATTTAATATAATAAGCAATATTAAATAAAGATACCTACGACAACAACAAAAACGATTACCTTACAAAAATTGTTTATATTAGCAATGTTCTATCATTCTACTCACGTCTTGCAGCTTAAGAAGTTTATGCAAACTTTATTATACAACACCATTTTTGATTGCTTCGATTAACCTTTTTGGTATAGGCTATTAAGGTGTTTATGTATACTATATACATACGTCTGTATATGGAACTGTCTCAAAGCACAAATAGCGGTTGAAGCTAATATTTGTTGAGCAAGCTGAATTTGTTGTGATTCATTTATTTGGTGTACATACATTAGGTATATATATTATAGTACATCATTTTTGGTTGATGTTTGACCGAGTTTATCTTTTCACGCATGCTGGTCGTTTTAATGATCGCCGACTGAAGAAAGGGTCTAAATGTTTATGCCGAATTCGAATTGCTAATTGGTTTTATGTGAAGTATTTGTGTTTGTGGCAATTTCTATGTTCAATGACGCATTTCCGTATTTCAATAGAGAACTAAAGTCAAATTTGATAAAGAGCTACCGTTATTGCAATTGCACAATATTTTCACCATAACTTTTTAAATTTAGTGATTCGCTCACCATCAAATTTTTCCTGCATATTTAGTACATCGTTCTCAATACAATGACCTTTAATTTTTTTGTATCGGATTGGTTAAATCTCAACCTTTTTTTAAACGCCGCCACTTTGACAATTTTTGTTTTTTTATTAACTTTACGTCAATGTACGGGCAATATCTTCTAGTAGAGTATTTTTTTTAGGTTTCATCCATTGCAGCAGTGGATTTTTAGCGCCGTCGTAGATCGTGCGTAACTCGAATATATTAAATTTGTTTTTGCAAAACTTTTTGTTTCTCAAGTAGTGTAACAAATTTGTTGTGTATGCTTCTGAAGTTGTCAGATAAAAGGACATGCTTGTCAATTAATTCAAGTAAAAAGTTTTGGGGTTTGCCTACATTTCGACGCGAAGTCGTCTATCAGTAATCGGCAATTTGAAATAAAACTATAATTGTTCTTATGATGAAAAAGACATTATATTCATGAATTCTTAGAAGTTTACGTATTATGTGGGAGCAGTCTAGAAATAATACACATACCCATACAAATATGTAAGTTAGATCTTATTGAAACAGACTTTACTTTTGGCCTCCAAATATATTAAGTCAAGTTATTGGACCAAAAAATATAAACTGCTAATTTAACAATTATTTAGCATTCCGTGAATGGCATTTTCTCAATTATTGTTATATAGAATGAAAACTAATTTGGTCTTTGACAATATAATCCGTAGCTAAGTGAAGCATGAAATGAGGTTAAATCCTCGAACTATTTACTAACAAATGTAGCTACTAAAGTAAGCAGCACAAATACGTGAAAGTAGTTGTAGTTAGTCATGTTATAATTAAAAAGTTGTTAAATTTTTAAATAGTTACTAATTTAATTATGTTTCTGAAATTTTTTCTTCTTTTTAGTGACGATGAGTTCTTCAGTATCCTTCCTGTTGTTGATGATCTGTGCGATCGTTTTGGCGGCACAACAAGGCCAAGCAAAGAGTAAGTCATAAAATTAGTAATTTATTGCGTTTATTTGTCAAATTATTATAACCAACTCAACATAATTGGAAGCTCTATGCGTTTAAGAGTAAGTGCCCTTCACAATCGTTATATTGTACATAGACACGCACTCATACACAGCACCGGCTTTAAATGAGCAACTTCACCAGCCGGGCTGTGGTCTACATTAATTTGACACCTTTGCCGCCGCTTCAAATATACACTTTGTATTGTATACTAAAACAAATAAAATTAATATCGTGTTTTGCAGACACTAGAATAAGAGCAATGTAACACAATTAGGCAAATTAATAGATAAAGCTACAGGTTGAAAGTCAAAATTTACACACTTTTCTCGCCAGCCATCCACCTTGAGATGGCGTTCATTGCCTGCAAAATGGCAATTTAAAAGATAATCAAGCAGCAGCGCTGTTTATTCGCACTTCTCCACATTGCGTTTGCGAGTGCGTAAAGTGGGAGGGGGAGGAGTTGCAATGATGCAACAACGCCGGCGAGCAGGTGAACACGAGCTGTTGCTGGTGAAAGTGAGTGCTAACTGTTTCTATTTAAATGTGTACATATGTAGGAGTATAAGTGCAGTGATTGAGCTGCAAAACAGAACTATGAAATACAAACATACCATTGTAAATATATGTATACAAAAGTGCAAATGGAAACATATAGAGAGTAAAAAATATTACAAGAAAATTTATACAGCATACATTCATATTTATACTCGTACCTACATATATGTATATGCATTTAAAACAGCATTTTGAAGTGAGCAAAACAAATTTCTTATCTTCGGAAATTCATTCGACAGTTTAAAGGGCTCGAATAAGAAGCAGAAGAGCTCGAAGCGCTTGAATTGAGTGCATAGGACCATCGGCGTACTTGTACTCTTGCATACAAATAAATTTATACGAACTGGGATGGTAGTTACAGTGATCAGCTGGTAATAAGAAACATACTTTCAACAAATTTATAACTTAAGTTCCTTCAAGATTAATGTGTCTCAAGGACTAATTAAATTTAATGACTGTTAAATAGCTTCGCAAAGGAAACGACATTTAGGGGTATATATTTCTATTACAATCTACAGCAATTGGCTGGGTATTGCACAAACCAATGTTTATACGCTTCAGAATATAATAAGTCTGCCACGTAATTTTTAACACCCAGAAGGAAACGTCGGAGACCCTATCAAGTATATATATATAAACGATCTGCGTGACGAGCTGTTTCGAATTAACCATGTCTGTATATACGCTCACTACTCATTTGTCGGAACCGTCGATATCGGACCAATATAGGATATAGCTGCCATATAAACTGAACGATCAGAATGAAGTTCTTATACGGAAAACTTTATTATTTAACAAAATTTGGCATGGCTTATTTTCCAAGCACATGTTACAATCTCCAATCAAATTGTTCAGATCGGTTTATATAGCTGCCATAGAAACTAATCGGTCAAACTCGTGTCAACTTTTCAAAAATGAAACCAGTAGTTTTTCAAATAAATTAAAAAATTTTCTTTCGAAGACTCGACAACCGTATAGCATACGGTACATTGTATACACCATTGAAATAAGAGGAAAGCGTGGAGGAGGCTCATATTTTTAATTTTTAGGGTTACATACTACAACTAATACATAATGATGTTTGCGATAAACTCAAGCTCGAAATTCGAAACAAAATTTTCGATTTTGGAGGCTACGGAGAAATTACATTTATACCCAGAAAACAAGGCGATTTTGTTGAGTTATGAGACAAGTCGTGCATACCTAATGCCAGCATAAACTAGCCGTTTTAACTTCACAGGCACATTCCATGTTTCTATAACAGATTTTGTCAAAATTTGTAAAAATATGCACATTTATAATGTATGCATATATGTACATATGTACATTAAGTTATGTATACACAGATATATTAATTAAATTGATTGATAAGGAAAAAAATTATTGGCTCTGTTTCGATGCCGAGCAGTATCTATAAAACCCTAACTATAAAGTTGCAACTTACAGTAAAATTGTATACAATTTTCTACACGCAACAACAATAGGGGCAAGGAAAGTTATTGACACCTGCAAAACCTAGCGTTGCGCCGTGACATTACGTACATAATACTTACAGCAGTATTGTTTATCAAATGGAAAATGTCCATATCCGTTGAACGGAAAAGTTATACTTACATATATGCATATATTACATATGTATGAGGGCGAAACAAAGGCATTGCTACATACAATCATACTAAATGTGTGTTTTCCCAATAAATTTTATTCACACACTTACAAAACAACCCCTTAAATATTGTTTGAAATTTTCAATTATGCATTTAATCCGCCAAACAAGTTCAATGAACCAACAGAAGTCGAAAAATGTGTTTTTTTATATATATTTTTAACTTTCAAATATATACATATATATAATAAATCTTCAATTGACTCTGTCTCACCAATTTTTTGCACCTCCTAATCATTTCACATACATACATATGTATGTATTTGCCTCGTGAATATTTCAATTAAACTTATTATGTAAATTGTTTGTTATAAAAATATAAATATAAAAAACTGTATGCAAGAAAATATTTATTTTCGGTCTATTTCATATGGCCTCTGGGCAGCGCGGCCCTCTGCGAGATAAGCGTAAACAGTTTTTTTTTTAAATAATATTTTATTGTTACAAGTCTTTTTTATTTATATTTGAACACTCATAATACGAGTGAATATGCAGAATACTTTTACATATATGTATATCAGTGATATTTTTATATACATATTTATGGATGTATATATGGACGTGTATATTAATAAATTAATATGTATGTATAAATTGAAATTAAATGATCGCATCACCCTCACCTCAATTACGTACATACAGAAAATTTTACAAGCATACATATGTATGTATTTTAACACAATTATGATAACATTTTAGACAATAGGCAAATACAGTGACCACATATGCTTATACAAAATACAAGTATACTTGGAAATCACTCATATAGGGAACGCTTGGCGCAAAGTTTCGTTACCCAAATATACAAATATGTGCGTTTGTGGGTCTCTATGGAATAAATCAAAGACAAAAAGCTGCTTGATTTCGATTATTACATGCCACAACTAATTCTAATTTTGTCTAATATGCTTGACTCTAAGTTTTCCCTTCATAACCTTTTGGGAGTTCTTCATGCAAGTCAATGTTAAAGTTCAAGTAAATTAGCTATTTGAACTTGAAAAACTGCATGTTGGAGATCATATATATATATATATATATATATATATATATGTGTTTTCGTAAACAATAGGAGCATATGCGATACTCAAAAAGACACTCTTTCGCTGCTATCACACCGCAAATAAGTCGGCAAGAATGCGAAGTTTACGTGTTTAAAGTTTCCAGAATGAGAATCGAGACTGAAGTAAAGTAGAGATAGAAAATAGTTTATGACATTTTAATAAATTTTAAAATTTTCAAACCCAATCAATCAAAGAGCATATAGCTTCACATTCCTGAAAGAGAACATTAAGGTATTTAGTTGTAATTATATTCTACTTATACAGCGCTCTTAAAAAAGGACTATTCTACGAAATTTTGTCTTCTTCTTATGTATGATTCTGCCAATCTTGGAATTATTGATTACACCCCATAGCATAAACTATCGTATTAGTCTAAATAATAACCTAAAATTTGACACCAAAACTTGTATGAACTCATATTCAGAAACTATTGGCATAATATAAAAACCTTAAGAGTTTTTTCTTATCATAAATAAATATATCTCTTTCAAAAATTGCACTTCCCTTAATAATTTACAGTAATAAATCCTACAACTAAAGGTCGATTGGCAGTAGCATGTCAAAAATATACTAAATTTCATTCGCTTTACCAGCTGAAGATTCCGATTGACCCAAAAATATCAATATCCGACTATTTTTCAAACATATCTTCTCTCAATGCAAGCAAAGAAGATAAAATAGCATCAAAGGGCTTTTTATAGATGTGACAGCCAACGAGCCAACAAACTTTGAAAAATCACTTCTATTCGTTATCCTTCTCAAATTTGTTTCCAACAACATTCTAAATACTGTTTACGGAAAAGTAAATTTTGGTTCATGCTGAAAACCATAGTTCTCACAACTTGGAAATAATTATTAATGTCATTTCGAAACACTTTTTTATTGAGATTAGATTATTCTCCACTACCACAAGTGGTGGTCTAACTTAACTCAAGTCTTAAAGTTAATTGAGTGTGAATTTTATTCTGTGAAAATAGTGAAAAGAATTAGAAATATGTAATCGATCACTTAACGAAATTTTTTATAGCTTGAAATATTTTAAATATTTTAATAGGATTAGAGATTTAGCAAACGAGTTTTTTAAGACATTGAGGTCATTTTCATATAGTAGTAAAGATTAAATTGAGTTAGGAGTATGCACTGTTGGCGGGTCTATTGTGCCCTCCCTTCTTCTTCAGTACACTGCGCTCTGTGGTCGTGAAATTTCGAAGTAATAAAACATTTTACCTTGATCACAAGCTGTCAACAAATAATCTTTCTCATATCAAATTTTAATAGTTTTATACACATACATATAATAACAAACATTTAAGTATGTACGAAAAACTCTCAAACTCTATACGAATTAATTACAAATATACTATTCTCGGTTTCCTTACAGAGGGCTGCAACGCATATGGACAAGCTTGTTACGGTGGACACGGAAAACGTTCTCTGGGCTCCTTAACGGAGGAGATGCTGGCAAATAGTGCATACAGAAACGAAAGAGAGGAATTGCATCCCAATGAATTGCTGCAAGCGATACCTAATGAAGCGACAGGACTATTACCAGAAAGAGAAATTGACACATTCCCCAGATATAGACTCATCAAGATTATGAGGTCATTGGTGAGTTTGCCAAAGGCAGCAGCACACATGCTAACATATTTATAAACAAGTACATGCTAAAAATATTTTCCATTTTCACCATATTTAGCTGGGTGGACATCTGAAGCGACCTGTAGAGCATGCCAATGAAATCGACTACCCCATCTCAGCAGAAACGTTTAGCCGGGACAACAGCAACAACTTCAATTAAGATGTGAGACACCATGAAACACCACGCCGACAAATCCATTCAGACTATTAATTTCAGTTGTGAACGAGCAAAGTAGCCGGACCTTTAAGTGTGCAGAAAATCAGAAATTACAAACTTAAAAATATACCAAAAACAAATGCATTGGGCTTATGTACAATATAATAAGAGTATGAAATCCATATATTCTTTAAATATTTGTATATATATATTTTAGTAGATTATCTAGCAAAAGTTAAAACCCACACACATATGTACATGCATAAAATTTTATAATCATTCCGCTTTTACACAGATAATATGTACATACAATAAATATATAAGCAGAATTTAGCAAATATGAGAAAAAATCAATGAATTCATTAAACTACTTACTTTCGCATTTCGGCAAAATCTGACTGAAATTTTAAGGGCTGGAAAATTTCAGTTGATTGCATAACACATAAAGGCAAACACACATAAACGCATACACCTGCATTGTACATTTATTGCTAAGGAGAGAATTCAATGCTTTCTTTAACTTGAATGTGAAATCACATTATATAATTTAGGAAATTATACTATACTTTAGAATAGTGGATCTAAACACTTAGCCAAACTATATGTTCCAAAACAAAGATAATGAAAAGCAAAGACTATAGGATACCTTTATTTACCAAATATGAGTATGTATGTAAATGTTAATAAATTATTATAAAGCTTATATTAAGTGTCAAAGCTTTTATTTGATGTGATGTGAGATAGACTAAAAATCTTTGACAGGAACCAAAATAAATAATTACCAAATATAGCGAAATTTTGAAAAAAGATCGTACAACATCCTTTGAGTGCAATATGAAAATGGTCGAAATGACACCAAACCGCCTCCACGGCCCATAGATCGACTTTCGTCAGTCGTTTGACTTTACTTCAGTCCTTAAGGTGTCTCCATAGTTTGATATTTCGAAAAAATCAACTATTTATTCTGACATCATTAGTAAATCAGTTTACTTTGAAACTAGTTTTTCTCGAAACAGCATATTTCGAATTTGCTGCAGTGATTAATCGGAGAGAAATTATTCGGTTACTATCAAATGTTTTCTACATGTTCTGTATATAGTTTCTGATCTGATCAGAAATCGAGTTTTGGCAGACCAAAAATGCACAAAATGTTTGGGTGATATTCAATTTTTTTATCATTGCCATTTACTGAATTTTTGATTTTTGTTTTTTTTTTTTACCGTAGTAATTATACGGACCATATCTTCTATAACAGAATTTGTTTTTAGATTTTATCCACGGAGAAACCCAAAATCACAGCAGCAGTGGATAAAAATTCTTTAGCGCCGTAGGAGATTGCGTGTAACTCGAAATATATTTAATTCTTTTCTACAAAAATTTTACTGTGTATTCTATATGTATATGTATGTACATATAAATACACCATCAAATTTTTAAAATATTGATACAGTGGTTCTTTCTGTAATTTCCAAAAATCGCCATTTTTGGGCTGTCACCCTGGCGAAGCACAAATAATATCGCTTCAGACATAAGACAGCTCTAGAAATATTTAAATATTATAAATAAGTTCGTATCTTCTTCTTATACTGAAGATTAAAATTATCCTGTTACTGGGTATGTTTATATAAATATTGACCAATATGCTATACATCTGTATATTACAATTTTTAATAGCGTTTTCATCTGCAAATTTTAAGGTCCTGCGAAAAACTGAAAAATTGCGTTTGCATTCCTATCCTAAACCCTTTACAGTGATTATTGTGTATTAATGATGGCTGACATATTGAATGGAATACATACATATATATGTATATGAATAGTTTGGAAGCTACGTAAAGTTGTAATGCAAAAAGAAAAATCAAATATGTATGTAGTCTATACATCTGTCTATTTTCGTAATGGGTAAGTAAATTTGTATTGGTTCATAATACAGCATATTTATATCAATTAGCCACTCTATGCACATACATAAATACATGTACTTATTTACCAAGAAAATGTTGTAGGTGATTGTCCCAATTGCAGCGCCCTCCCCACTTCATAGGATTTCATAAAACTATGCCAGTTTAAACTAAAATATCACAAATTTCCGTAAACCACAATTCTTATTAACAAACCGCATAAGGAAACAGCACACATTCACAGTTTATTATTACGCTTGCCTGTGTTGCGGCTAATTTTAGGAAATGCCTAATTACGTAATAATTAGTAAATACCTTAATTAGGTATTAACTTAATTTTACACAAGCAACAAATAATACTTCACACATTCATTTTATTCACCGATACAATTAACAACGCTTTATATTCATTTTAATTGGTTAATTATTAAAAATTCACAAGTAATTATCACCCGAAGCGCTCTTTGCAAATAAAAGCGGTTGAAACTTCAAATTCTGTCAAAAATTGCGAACAGGAAGCTAAAGGAAGTGCAACTCAACCCCACTACACAATAAATCTTAAAAATTCACACGTTGAGATAATAAAATATAATTACAATTATACTATAAATAAGTTAAGATACTTATACTGATTAATATATATAATATAATATACCGTTAGTAACGACTTGCAAGACATATGGGGCGAATTTTCAAAGAAAATGATCAAATTTCTACGATTTCCAAGTGGCCACGTAATTTGACGGTTCAAAACAAATAATCGATGAATTTTCAACACAGCCAGCTATCGATTGCTTAGTTATCGAAGCACATGTTAAAAGAAACTGTAACCACAACTAGTAAACATTTCGTTTGCGATTGGAGCTACAGAGTGCGAAAAAATGACAAACGCGGAGCAAAAAGTGTCCAAGGGCACATTAAATGACGGTTTAGTTAATAGTAGTGTTATATTCCGCCGAAATCGAGCACTTGGCTATGTGAGCAACAGCGTGCCAGCCGCGATTCGATATGTTCGGCGGCGTAAGGATACATTGATCACCACTTGTATTGGTCGTTCCTTTCAAGTGTACACGGCTAGCCATTTTCGCCTACTGCATGTTGGGCCAGTGCATCCAGATGAAATAACAGCGTTGGCTATGGATCGTATACACACTTATACGGCCAGTAATCGTTGTATTTATGCTTGGCGCGCCGGCAAACACCAACGACACGTGTTTCGTGGTCACACACGCAATGTTCATTTGCTTTTGCCATTCGGTGCTCATTTAATAGCTGTGGATGAGGCAAATGTTTTACGTGTTTGGGATATAGCAAAAGAAGAGGTTTACTTAGAATTGCAATTCAATACGGATGAATTTTCAATTACCGCGTTGGCACACCCGCCTGCCTATCTGAACAAAATTGTATTAGGCTCTCAGCAGGGTATGCTTAAAATTTGGAATATTAAAGAGAATCGTTTGGTGTACACTTTTGCTGGTACGGGCAGCAGGGTAACTTGTATACAACCATCACCAGCATTAGATATCGTAGCAGTTGGTCACCAAGATGGCATTATTGTTTTGCTCAATCTTAAATTTGACGAAGTACTGATGAAGTTTAAACAAGATTGGGGACAAGTTTCACAGATATCATTTAGAACAGATGGACCACCAATAATGATTACAGCGTGTTCGAATGGCCATGTTGCATTTTGGAATTTGGAGGACCGAAAGGTAACATTTTCATATTACTCTCCAATATTTTCATTAAGTATAAGCATTGTAAACTTTGTTTTCCTTCAAAGATTGCTGGCCAATTACAAACTCATGAGGACTCAGTTGCCACTGCTATTTGCTTCCACAACGAGCCGCTACTTTTTACCACTTCGCCAGATAATTCGATGAAATTGTGGATCTTCGATATGCCAGATAATGGGGCACGCATGTTACGTATAAGAGAAGGACACACCGGGCCACCTTTATGCATAAGATATCACGGAAATAGTGGCACCACAATACTTTCCGCTGGAGAAGACAGTGCTTTACGTGTATTTAGTACCATTACGGAATCGTTTAATAAAAGTATGGGTAAAGCTAGTTACAACCGAAAGCAGTCAAAAAAGAGGAGTAAGTTATTGGAACATTTTTATATGAATATTATATAAATATTGGTTTATATATAGATCGTTTCGAGGAGGATTCATTACGCATGCCTCCGATTATCGAAATTACCAGCGAGACAACGCGTGAGCGTGAATGGGATAATATAGCGGCACTTCATGAGGGCATCATACAAACAACAACATGGTCATTTCATAAAAACCGCATGGGCGAACATCGCTTGATACCCGAGAAATTCCAAAACAAGAATCGAACTGACTATAATACAATTACTACATGTGTAACACTCACACACTGCTGTAACTTTGTCATCATTGGTAAGCAAGGACAAATAATAATAATAAACAAGAATCAGTTCAATATATACTCCTTTTACTTGCTATAGGTTATTCCAGTGGCGACTTGGAGCGCTTTAACATTCAAAGTGGCATACATCGAGCAAGTTACGGTGCACCAGCGCATAAAACCGCAGTGCGTGGTGTAGTTTCCGACATACTAAATCAGTTCGTCATCTCTGGGTGTGGCGATGGATTGTTAAAATTTTGGCCCTTCAAAGTGAAAGGTAAATCTTTATATATTTTTTAAAGAGTTCTTATTAACATCTAGCATTTTCTGCTTTTATCTCTTGGTACTAGTTTCAAATTATATAAAGTGCCTTAAATTTTCTGATGGAGTTTCCCTTATGCGCATTCACCGTGAGAGTGCTATGCTTGCTGTTGCCTTAGTGAACTTCGCCGTACACATTGTGGATGTGGATACACGCGTTGTGGTGCGTAAATTCGAGGGACATATTGCCAAATTGAATGATATGACATTTAGCCCCGATAGGCGATGGCTCATTACCGCAAGCATGGATTCGACCATCAAAGTATGGGATATACCATCCTCCTATATGATAGATCACTTCAAAGTGGATCGTCCATGTGTGTCACTCAGCATGTCGCCAAACGGTGATTTTCTTGCAACCGCACATGTAAACTATTTGGGAATATATTTGTGGGCGAATAAGATGCTCTTCAACCAAATAACACTGCGCTCAATCAACCCATACAGTACGCCGCCCTTCGTTGGCTTACCAATTAGTGCCAGTGATGAAATGGACGTAGCTGATCTAATGGAGAAAACAAAACTGGGTGAAACCGGCGATGAAGCAAATGAAGACATGAGTGATGAAGAAGTGGGTCCAGAGATCAATTTAACATACGAATCGCCATCACAGCTAGACAGTGATTTGATTACACTTTCTGGTGCTGCAGCATCGCGTTGGCAAAATCTGCTCGACCTCGAAGTAATTAAGAAACGTAATAAGCCAAAGGCGCCACCTAAAACTCCCAAACAAGCTCCATTTTTCCTGCCAACAGTTGCTGGGCTAGATATAAAATTTGATATTGGTCAAAATACAGACAATGCAGCTGATAAGGATGCATCGCGTGTTTTGCAATCGGGTGCAGGTAGTCTTAGCACATTAACCAACCTCGGTAAAATGCTACATGAGTCGACGGACAGTAAAAATTATGATCAGTGTGTGGATCATCTTAAACAGCTTGGCCCATCCATGATTGATTTTGAAATAAAATCGTTGCATCCGAATGGCGGAGGTTCTTATCGCATCATGGTTGCTTTTTTGAAAACAATTGAATCGATGTTTCTTTCAAACACCAACTACGAATTGGCGCAAGCGTATTTAAGTGTTTTCCTACGTGTCTACGGCATAGATTTATTGGACTCAGAGGATGTTAATGACGCATTGGAGCAGGTTTCAGAAGTGCAAGAAAAAAGTTGGAAGGTTGTTGAAGATAAACTGTTGTTTGGTTTAGGTGTGGTAACGGCACTCAGGAATTTTGTGTAGATATGAAATAGATGACATTCGTAGACCCCGCTTTAAGATAATATTGTGCTACCAGCACAATCTGATACAGCTAGTTATAGCTATATATTATTATTTAGAAAATATAGTTCGTGTATATTTTTTTAAATATACTAATGAAAACTTAATTATGTATTAAATTTTATAAAAGGTTTCATGGAAACAGGGTGTTTTACGTTTGTAACACTCCAAGGGAACGTCGAAGACCTTATAAAATGTATCTATCTCTCTGTGTGTATATATGTGAACTAGTCCTTCCGTTTTTGCGAATTCGATCTGAAATTTTGCATACGTCTTTTTCTACCCAAGAAACTACTTATTTTTCGGAACTAATATCGACATCGGACTACTATAGCATATAGCTATCATACAAACTGAACGATCAAAATCTAGTTCTTCTATGGAAAGCTTGAACCTGTGCAGGGTATTACTATTACATGAAACAGATTTTTTACCATTCCTTAATTGTTAACAAACGACTCTTTGTCACAATTTAAAACGTTAAAAGTTGCTAAGTGAATTCTTTAGAAAGCAGTTTCGTTACTAGGCAAGAAAAATACAATACATTTTTTTAAAGTATGCTTAAAAAATTCACGATAATTTTTATAATGGTATATAAATTCATAGTCGTGATTTATTTGTTTATGTTTTGTCTATAATTTTGTTGATGTTTACATGCAATCAGCTGTTCTTGTTTATCTGCTAACCTCAAGGTGACATGTAATTTTGCTCTACAATCTTGAAAACTATTCGAACAGCAATATTGTTCACTTTTGCCACAATTTTTAGTCGAAGTTTAATGAATTCCTAAAATTTCTCCTGAAATCCCCACTAATTCGCTGAAATTTCCAAATATCAATGAAAGAAGTACACAGATTTAAGTGTTATAGTATATTTGCCGTTAATGTAACCATTTAAATTAATTGTTCCTTTTGAATTTTAAATTTATCGTCTAAAGTGAAATTGAATAGCCTTAAGGAATGCGCCTTGTTTATGACATTGTATCGAGACTTTTCCAAAAAAGGGGATGTACAACATGTTTATAGTAGCGATATTTTCATTTTACGGACTTGTGCTGTTGGCGAAGATTGTGAAAAAGAAAACATTGCTACAGCAAAGTCACAATGTATATTAGGAAACCAGCCGGCGCTTTGTTAATCGTTCCAGTTAATGTACCCTTTGTTGTTAGTTCGCTGTTGTTGTTCTGCTATGGTGACTTGTCAAAATTTATCTAGTATTGTATGTAGTGCTTCTGCGTGTTCACGGCTTATTTTTGTAGGATTATTTAAACGATTAAACATAATTTGCATGTTGGAGATGTTGGCGGTATTCGCTTAACTCGACGAACACTGCTCTATTCTGGGTCCTTGTTCATACCCGCGATCATCTTCTTCATACGCCATACGTTGGTGCTGTTGTTGGCGTCGTTGTTTGGGATCGAATTCCTCCTGAAATTGTACATAATATTTTAATAATTTATAAATTAACATAAATTACATGTACTTACCAATTCGACTGTCTCAGCATCAAGTGGTATGGTTACTTCTGGCCTTGGGGGTAGACATTGTTCAAGTGTGGGAATAACTGTTAATGGAATAGTAGGGGGGAAGATTACTTCGAATTGAATGATCAAGCGACCTTTCTCCAGCGGGTTCTTATACAACGGCATGCCTTCTTCCATGACACACTTGGTCATTTCATGTTTGACAACGTCACCCGGTTTGGATCGGATCACAAGATCACGATCATCCAGTGTCTTAATAACACGTTCAAATCCACAAAGGGCTTCCACCAATTGAATTGGCATTTTCATCATTAAATCTGTACCGGCATGCACAAACGTGGAGTGCTCTTTCTCATCCAATAATATGATAATATCACCAGGTTGTGAATCTGGTTCATGATCGCCCTCACCATTAAATATAATTTTCTGTCCATCTCGCATACCTTTCTCTATATGCACTTCCAATACTTTACGTTCCCTAACCGTTTTCCTACCATTACACTGCTTACAACGATCCTTTTCAGATATCATCTCTCCAGTTCCCAAACATTTACGACAAACTTGTTCGGTATGTTGTACTAAACCAGGTCCAATCTGTTGTACACGGGTTTCTACACCACTACCACGACATTGCATACATTTCTCAATTGCACCCTTCTTGCCACCGCGACCTTCACATTTGTCGCAAATCACACTCTTCTGCAATGCCAACTTGCGTGTGGCACCATTGTACAATTCTTCCAACTGAACGGACATCTGATGTACAACATCCTTACCACGACGCTCACGTCGACGACCGCCACCTCCGAAACCAGGTCCAAAGAACTTCTCAAAGAAGTCCATGGGACTGCGGAAGTCACTTGTGTCAGCACCGCCTTTCTTGATCGCCGCTTCGCCGCCATCATCGTAGATCTGTCGTTTCTCACGATCTGACAGCACCTCATACGCCTGTGAAATTGCCTTAAAACGCTCACCCTCATTTGGGTTTTTGTCCGGATGATATTTTAACGCCAACTTTCTGTAAGCTTTCTTCAACTCTTCACTAGTGGCGTCGGGTTTCACACCCAACAGGTCATAATAACCAGTTTCTTTAACCATATTATCTTATTTCTGTTATGCCTATGAATCAAATAAAAAAGTATTCACAGCTCTTCCAAAGGAAAAAAGACGAAAATGTACGACCTGAAAAGGGTAGAGAAATACACGAAGTGAGCAAAATATATAAACGAAAATATATAAAGTTAAATATTTTTTTCATTCCCTCAAAACTTTTTGTATTATTTTGATATTTCTAATTATGACGTATAGTTGATGTAAAATTCTAAAATAACACGTTTACTAAAATGTTTAATTTACATGAACATTCCAACACTCGTTTCGTAGACAAATAGAAAATTCTCCACTTTTTCTGTCTTCTACTGTTTTCAAACTTATTTGTTAATATGCCACTGCACTGTTGTGTATATTCCTTTTAGTAGCCAAAGTGTATACCTTAAGATTTATAGCCGATTTTGTTTTTTAGCTTTACACTTAAAATCTAACATTTGGTTCGTTGCTCTTCCAAATCAATACTGAACACGATGTATGAAAATTTTGCTTATTCATGGATCGGCAAACATGACTAGATACAATACAATTTTCTTTACATTTGTATCTGGCTTTCTATATATAACAGCCAGCATAAATTTTTCCATGAACAGGTAGATACAAAAGTGTATCCTCGAGAATCTCATCCCTTATACTTACACACCTACGCGATAATTTTCTAATAACAGATGAATATTGCAAACATTTGCAATTACGAAATATCCAGAAAAATGCTCTAACTATCCAAAGTCTTATCTTTTTCTACTAGGGGGGAGAAGTGCATAGAAAAGTAACGAGTACTATCAACTACATTTAACAAAACTGCACGAACAAAGCTAAACGACGAGCTACGAACACTTCGAACTTCGATTGTTGTAGCCTGCTGCAGTAATATCGATTTTACCTTCGTCACCGCCTGTCTGGCTAGTAGCTACCTATATACTTGCTTTAATTTTTGTCAAATTTTAGACGCCAACTCGCTATACATTTGAAAAATTAAATCTCATTTAATTTCATGATACGAAGTTCAAAAATACTATACGCCGACTTGAGAACTATTGGCCTGACGCCATCTTTCCACTATCTGGCACTTTATTTCATTATATAAATAATACGTATGTTCTATTTATTTTACATACACTACTTACAACACGAACATTTCCTTTTTGAAATTAGCTAAATATTAAAATTACAAAATGGCCCTTGAAAATACCTTGTACATCTACTCGTTCTGCAAATCTAAGTACGCAATATACTATTCCAGCTCTTTTATAATTACCTGTCTCTAGGGTACTAAACTTGGAAAAATGTATTTTTACAGTTTGTAAATAGTGTATTCTTTATTTTCTCTTGCCCAGCTCTTTCTTTTTTTGGCTTAATATATTGTAAATGCCAGAATAATTTAGACAATATTTTCTCTAAACTCACAATAGAAACGTGGTCACACTGCGATCAAGATAAACCTCCGACGGGAAGAAACTTCAAATGAGTGCCCTTTTGATTTTCAACTGAGGAAATGTGGAATACCGAACAAGTCTGACGCATGAATTTTCTAGAATAGAAACGTGAGTGTCGGTAATACAGATCTCACCGATTATTATTTATCGTTTCTAGTAGACGGAGCTGCTCTCGAAGCAAACATTCTACCAAATTTAGTGTCCAACTAATTATACAAATGAGAGTAATTACAAACACAAAGGAAATCATTACAATAATTTATTAGAATACTTGACACTTGAAGGGTCAAGAGGTGTGACCTGCATATCTTCATAGTACAAGAAAATATTTTCCGCATATGAATGAATACATATGTTTCCCTTTTCCTTAGATGAAAATAAGACATTTCTAGTGGAAATGATTATTTTGCTTTTAGATTCTCTTTCTTGTCTCAATTAGTTTAGTAAACTACAAATATTCCCACAAGACCTCACAAATGAATCAAACGAAATTATAAATTTGCCCAGGCATGTTTTCGATTATTTTAATTATTGCGTCCTTACATCACTGAAATCGATATTTTTTTAGCCAGATTGGTTCAGGTGCTCCACATTTATATTGTCGGTAAAGAAGTTCAGTAATAAATTAATATTTTTAATAATGAAAATTTTATTCATTACTTTTGTTAATATTCTGTTATATTTTTTTAAACAAATGGGAATGGAAAAGGTTGGTGATAAATTTAAACTGATAGTAAATGCAAGTACAAACCAAAAAACCTTATTGGGGGTAGTTTTTGTTTATTGAAGCATTTCTGCTATTGCGACCTCTAGATGTCAAGTTTATTCCTAATAAGGGATGATTAATCAGCTGTTTATATATTAGTTGCAGCATATTTTCTGTGGGTGTTACAAAATAAATTATTATTGTCCAAAAACTAAAAAAAAAATAAAATGAAACACGCACAATTTATTGCTCGTACCGTAATGGTTCAAAGGAATAATGTTGAAGAAGCTTGCCGCCTATTAAATCGTATTTTAGGTAAAGAAGAAATATTTGATCAGTACCGGCGAACACGCTTCTATGAAAAACCATATCAGGTTAGTACCACACAAATGAGAACTTAATTGAAAATAAATAAATTTATTTTACGTGTCCAGGTTCGTCGTCGCGTTAACTTCGAGAAGTGCAAAGCAATCTACAATGAAGATATGAATCGAAAAATACAATTTGTGCTGCGCAAAAATCGCACTGAGCCATTCCCAGGATGCAGTTAATATGCCATTAGTAATAAATAGTGAAAACAAAAATAAATTTAATGTGTTGTTAACAAACCAAAAATACTTTTCAATTGCAATAATAACCAATTTATGTGTTAGAAGTTATATTTACATATGTACATATATAAGTTGGCAATGGTTCAATTAAAGCTTGAAAGCTTTCTGTGGTCTTTGAAAGCTTCGTGGACAGTGGTTGACATTTCAAACTGTTTTGGTAAGGATTATTGCAAGTTGCAACTAAAGATTTTCTTACTTTCGAGAAGAGCGGACGTGTTTACGTAAATTTTAGTGGTATGTACAAGGAAAAGTGATGTAAATTAAATCACAAAGTTCCGTATGAAAGAAGTACAATTTGAAATATTTTACAAAAATAACAATATTGTATACAGTTATACAGTTAATACACAAAAATAGTAATAAAACAAATAATGTGTTGCGAAACTGCGAAATAAACGCAAACTTTTAAGTCGCTAGGAATAAAAAAATAGTAAAGAATATTTTAGGAGAAGCAATAAAACAATATTTATATATAAAGCGTTTTGAATTCCCCCGAAAATTTACAACATCCTGTTATCTGCGTCGTTACTGTGTTCGACGTGAATCCATCGTTGTATTGCATTGACTTCTAAAACGGAAGTGGGGCTGAAACTGCATACATTTATGCACTAAGCTATGTAAAGGGTTATTTATGCATGCATGGTTTAGTTTCAAGGGCGAACAGTCGGAAATAATATTATCGTAATAATAAATAGGTGATAGGTCATTGTGTATAATGTAGATAGTAATAAAATTTAAAATACACACTTATACATATATATAAACGAGTACTATGCAAAATTTGCGCAAAGTACATAAAGGGTAATAAGGAGAATAATAATAAATTATTCGCCTGCCACCTTCGATCAATTTCATCCATTCCTTCAATTGCGCAATGAACTACTTTGTTATAAAGCTGGCCTATGTACATAACTACTAATTTATACATACGTAAGTTTGTATATGTGACTGTCATTCCCTCCAATATGTCACGTTGTTGGCACTGTTTTTCTTAACTTTACAATTTGCATAGTTACTGTTGTGGAATATCGATTTGTTGGTGTTTTCATGCTATTTTTAGACACTCGAACGTATAATACACGGTGGGTACGAGTGCTCGTGCACCCGAACTTTTCGCACACATATACATATACACATACATATGTATGTGTGCATCCTTAAATGCTTGCAATTTGAATGGATTAATATATTACCAGCAATCGATGACGGTCGTTACTTCCTTTCAACGCTGCTTGTTGGCAGGATTAACCGTTTTATAAGCAAGCAATACATTTTTGCTATAAATTTTCATTAGAAAGGAAATAGGAGGAGGATTGAGAATTTGCAAACTGAATAAATTTGTTGTATATACATAAGTACCATATGTATAACCTATAGCAATAGTATGTACAATATATTTGTTCTTAATAGCAAATATTAATAATTTATTATCGATATTTGATTTAGTTCAAGCGAAGCACATAAAAGAGGAAAATGCTTTCGCATCAGTTGCACGCGGTGATTTGGTTACTCAATGGAGTCATTGCACTGTATGCATATCCAACTATAAATCTACCATTTTTATTTGGTAAGTACTTAATACATTAATTAATTAATACACTATTTGAAGATATTTGTGAAAATAAAGTGGATACTAAAACAAGAAAAAGCGTTAACTTCGATTGCAACGAAGCTATAATACTCTTCCCAAGCACAAAAATTCCATACAAGAACTTGATTTTGATCGGTCAGTTTGTATGGCATCTATATGCTGTAGCGATCTGATCTAAACAATTTCTTTGGATATTGTACCTTTGCCTGGGACAATAATCCGATCCAAATATCGTGAGATATCTCGTAAAATAAAAAAAAGTCTATACAAGGATATTATTTTGATTATTCAGTTTTTATGGCAGCTATATGCTATAGTGGTCCGAAATCAGTGGTTCTGACAAATAAGCTCCTTAGAGACAAATAGACGTGTTCAAAATTTCAGATCGATATCTCATAAACTGAGGAACTAGTTCGCGTATCTAAAGACAGACGGACGGACGGATACACAGACAGACAGACATAGCTAAAGCGACTCAGCTGACCAGTTTTATATATATATTATAAATATTATAGGGTGTCTCCGACATTTAATTCTGAGTGTTACAAAGGTCGTGGCATTTGTAGATGGTTTGAAGACGAATACGCAAATATACATACATATGTTTTCCTATTTTTGTAGGCAATAGCAAGAAATTGAAATTTAAAAATTGTGTGTTGAGTTTAAGAGTTGTGCTAAATGTACTATTATTTAGTTTAATTATTAGTTACATACATTCATATATTTTTACAGGTTCTTCCGCATATGGCGAAAACGCTTACAGATTCAAAAAGAGTGGCTTGGAAATACAAGTAAGCTTTATTTACCGATGACACATACATATATATATGCATATATAAATACACCCATAAATATATACATACATATGTACATATTACCAAATATGTAAAAACTATCTTGTCGTTGGATCTAAATTGATTTAGCTAACATTCTGCACCTCTCTTTCTTAGTCTGATGCCGATGTGGTGGAACTAGAGCATTTGAAGGACCATTATGGTAGTGAAAATATAGAAACTACTGTACAATTGCCGTCAAATATTGAGCAAACTTTTGTACCCGCTGTTGGCGCCGGCAAACCAGTTAGTGCTGAACCACTAAGTGAATCGCAAGAACTGGAACGTCAATTAGAGCAAATGCCTGTTATTACTACAAAACTTGAGAAGAGCGCAACAACAGAGTTATCGGTCGCGCCAGTGGAGTCCGAAACGCGTGACGAGCAGCAGTTACCAGTTCAAGGTAGTGGCGTCCATCGGCCACCTACCCTCCAACATGACAACGGTGGTAAAACACCAGCGGAGGGTGGTGTGGCTAACCAACAGCAAACTGCTGAAATAGGTGCGGTTATACCAAATGGTGGCGGTCCACCTGCACCATCTGCCATCAAGGTAATGACTTTTGTAAAGATTTATGTAATTGTGTAAAGTTTTTAAAGTAATATCCCCCTTCAAATGTCGTAAATTTGCGCCAATATATGTATGTATGTATACATGTGTACCTATCGATGTAAATACATATGTATGTTCGCTACAGCCTTTCTATGGTGCCGCACGCTTGGCATTCGGTCAAAATCCGGAAGTACTTCCAACCACCTCCACAACCGCTACGTCTACATCCACTAGCACTACAACGTCAACAACAACTACCACCACCACTCAAGCAACCGTCCAAGCCACCAGCGCAGGCAAAGACACAAATGCGCCTGAATCAGATACACTTCCACTTGACGTCGAGAGTGTCGCCGCGAATGGACAAGAAAGCGGGCAAACGAATCCAACCGAGAAATTTACCGAGCAAATTAAACCAACAGCCCAACGGCGCTCGGTGCCTTTAAAGCCACAACAGGTTCTTATGATGAAACGTTGTTCACTTCATACATTAACACATACAGACTTACATAATTGTGTCACATACAATGCTAACGGATATAAACACAGCCCTGCAAGGAAATCGCTTGAATCGGTTGCCTTTTAAGTGTTATGAGAATTAGTAAAGAATTTCATTCAGAAAGACACCAATTATTAACTACAAATTTTATGTGTAATATGTGTATGCTTTTGCTTGCAGGGTTATAAATCAAATTCATGCACATCAATTGCTTGGCCAAGACTCGATAAAGTTTCACTGCCCAAACACATATATACTTATGTGCATTCTACATATAAACATAAACATATGTACATATATGAACATGCATATACCTATATACATATGTGCAGATATATTAGTGGTTAAGTATGAGTAATTTAAAAGCAATGCATTCAAATTATCCTTAGAATAGTTGGCAAGTTAGGAAGTGAATTTGAAATTCATCTTCCGAACAGGGTATATTAAGTTTGCCACGAAGTTTGTAACGCTCAGAAGGAAACGCAGGAGACCCTGCAAACAAATATATAAATAATCAGTGTGACGAGCTAAGTCTCTTTATGCCGTCATGTCCGTCTGTCTATATATACGCGAACTAGTACCTCAGTTTTTGAAATATCGATCTGAAGTCCTTTTCTCCCCAAGAAGCTACGCATATATAGGAACCGCCGATATGGGATTACTATAGCAAATAGTTGCCATACAAACTGACCGAAAATCAAGTTCTTATATGGAAAACCTTTACACGAGATATCTTCACAGAATTTGGCATGGATTATTTTACAAAGTAACAGTACAATCTCCAAACAAACTGTTCAAATCGGACAACTATAGTATATAGCTTGTTGTATTGTATTGCAAACTGATCGATCAAAATCAAGATTAAGTTGCTTTATACCCTTTTATGCTAAAAGAATTGCACCTGAGCCTATAATACCCGTCATAGCTTCGATGCAGCCGAAGTTAACGTTTTTTTACTCATATGAAAACACATTTAGTACCTAAGAGACGCATTTCATAATTAGAAACTATTTACATACATATGGTACACATATTTATAACTCACAAAAAGCAACTTGTTCATTTTTACACTAAATTACTACAGTTAATTCTAAATTTTTTTTTTGAATATTATACTTTCAATAGACCGTCGAAACTCTTCTTAAACGTCATAATGGTCACTTATCAGCATTTGACATGGCACAGTACGTGTTTTGGACTGGCGATGAGGCAGGTGTGGCGCGCGCCGTTGAAGAACTAATCGATCGGGGAATGGTATGTCTCGATGTCAATGTTAATAACTTTAAATTGTTGTTGTAAATGGTGTTTGCATGTTGTAGATGTCACGTGAAAATGCTCTAGAATTTCTAAGAGAGGTACGTATTGGCATTGAGTACCTGCAGCAGTCATATACAAATCGCATCTTCCCAGAAGCTGGTCTGAATATAAACATTGATAAGGTAAAAAAAACATGAATTCTAAAAAACATAACATATCCTTTTATTATATGTATGTGTGATTTTAGAAAATGTTTGAGATGCCACAGACAAAACTGGTGGCACCGCCAACTGTCGCAGCAACAAATGAAAAATCTTTGCTTCCTTATTTACAACTTGAACGACTACTCCACACAAGCAATCAAAATTCAGTAAAGCCAGTTGAAAGTGTACCAGTATGGCATAAATTGCCAGTGCTAAACAGTGATGGTAATCAAGGTGAATGAGATAAATTTTCAATACTGATATATGCTATAAAAATAAATTATTAATTTAAAAGTGAATTTCAATTCAATCAATTTAACTATTTATTCCACTGAAGATCTCAACGATTATGATGAGAATGGTGAAAGAGCTAAGATATCGCAATTCTTGTACAATGAATATACTTTAGAAGACATTTTGTATAAATTGGCAAAGGTATGTTTATACACTGTCTATATGTACATATGTGTATAAGTATGTATGTAAGATACATTGGTATACTTCGATTTTGCAGATTATGTTCTCGCAGTCGTTGGCACACGGCTCCGACGAGGCACAGCACGAATTGCAGAAATTAACCGATTTTTTGGAACGTGAGGGCAATCTTGGTGTCATACCAATTGATCTGCAGAAGAAAGTTTTACGTATGTTTAGTATTCTTTTCAATTTTTATTGTTGAAACGCTTTTTTATTGTCAAGCTCTTTCATTTCTTGCAGACATCTTATTCCGCGCTCTTTCCGATACTCTGGCTGAACGTCCCGAACTATTGTCGGTTGCCAATGTAAATCTCGCCAACACCTACAATCGTCTTCCTCTACGTACTTTAGAGCCATGAAATGGTCACAGTAACAAGTGATTCCACAATAAGTAAAGTTCTATGTAAAAAACCTATTTATTTATATTTTTGTTTCAACATAATGAGGTATGCTAAAAATGGCCTCTGTATTATCGTATAAATACTCACTAACAAATTGTGGCCCGAGTAAAGCACGATTTGCTCATAAATCGTCCATTAATATCAGCGGCAAAATAATATTTTTTTTTGTGAAGCTCCAAAGATTATATAATTTTTTTTTTGTTAGCAACAGTAATGTCTTAAATAATGAGTATTTTGAACACTGCATAGCAGCGTAAGCGAATTTATCTATTTACTAGAGCTGAAAAAAAATCGTATAAAAAAATAACAGTAAAAACCGTTAGTGGACTGTTAAATGTAAAAGGTCAAGTTTATTAGAGAATCGTATTTGATTTTTATTGTAATCCTAGAAAGCGATATTATATATACACACATACATACAACTACAAGTAAAGCACATATTTTGATTTAAAATCAATTTATGATAACTTTGACAAATGCGAGATATTATAACAAAAATCAGCAGCTCCGCATTATGTTTATAACGGTAATAATGGCTAAATGTTTAACATTTTATGATAGGCTTTAACCTTAAAAGGATGTATTCCGAGTAGGCGCGTATAACTGTATTTGTATTTTAATTGTATTTATAAAAGTACACGTGCATATACATACATATATCCAATAAAACTTGTATATGTTTACATATATCGGTAATGCTAATTAGTGTATGTGTTTAAATAGCTAAGCTGAGCTGAGTTATATACATTAGTTAGACGGTTAAGTACAATATTTTTTCAAGTATTTTTTTGTTTTATAAAATTTTATGGGCAAATATATCTATATATCTATAAATGTAATAAAAAATAATTTCCATTTGGTTTGGGGCTTAATGGCAAATTTTTTAAAATGGATTAGTTCGCTGAACACAAGTTTTGCTCAAATTTCGAGACATAAAATCAACGGTAATAATATACATATGCTAATAAATTATTTTAATTTATAACCAGTACATATATACATATGTACTTGCATACACGATTTTTTCTTTAAATATATTCGGTTTTTTTTAGATCTTAAATAAGAGTAGTCCTAGTTATAAAACCCATATCAGGTACTGGTTTAAAATAAATGAATTGTGAATTTCAAAAAGTACGGCATCACTATGTACCATCGTGTGGGTGCTATTTTTCATTTGTATACATCAAACAGCTGATTGCATTAAAAATCAAAATTTGTTTTCTCAACATAAGAAAAACATAATTTTTGGGTGAGCAAATATTCAAATAAATAAAGCCATGAATGTTGACGTATCCGCAATGGAAATGGATCCTGAAATGGCCAAAAAGTTATTCGCTTCCGGTGCGGTGTTGGTTATCACAGGAGCGCCAGTCGGCACAGAATTCGGCATTGATCTATGCAACTACACAATCGGTGAAAAATTTCGTGGCGTAAAAATGATACCGCCCGGTCCTCATTACATCTGGTGTGCGTCCTGCGGTCCATATGGCGATGTTGCTCCACGTGTGGGTTTTGTACATTACTTCAAAAGCGAAGAGGTGGTTGTGCGTGAGTGGAGTCAACGCGATGAAGAAATGCAAGAGAGTCAGGCTGACGACAAAGAATTAGAAAAGAAACGTATCCGCGATAATCTCAAGGAATTTGATAGCTTTCTGGCACCTTACGATTATCGATTTTATAATAAATGGAAACTCCTAACGGACAAAGTGACCGAGAGCACAGTAGAACGTTGCAGACCGACCTTGGGGCCAATACGTACTAATGTAGAATTGCAATCTTGTTCTGATGAGGATCGACCAAGAGGCACGTTACACACAAATAATTTACAGCAACAAAGCACTAAAACAATTGTAAATGAAAGTGACTTGCTACCCAACCTGAAACCGGTAGAAGGTACTGCGCCACGTTTTACCGAACTACCAACGCGTGTTCCACAGAATGCGTCGCCTGCTGAAGTGTCCCGTCACAGCATTGATTGTGTGTGTGCAATTGAGACACTTGTTGGTAAATTTCACAGTTCGGAAGCCTTGATCGAGGAGGAACAATTAGCTTTTGTTTTTTATCTGGTTGGTTGTTCGGTGGAATCTCTGTCATATTGGCGTAATATACTACATTTGTTGGGACACTCTGAGCAAGCGGTGCAAAATTTTAAAATACTTTATATGAAATACGCTGAAGCATTAATGCAACAGCTACCACACCTGCCCGAAGAACTTATGGAACCAGGTGAATACAACTCAGTGTATAAAGATGTGCGATCGCTGTTAGTTAACCTAAATATGGGTGGTCTGGGCGTAAGTGCCGATAAACTTAGTAGAAAGTTACAAAAAACTCTACAATGGCATTTTGAGGGTTTGCTGGATGAAGATCCTGAGGATATGCCGGTTATAGTAGAGTTGACATAGATTTATAGCTGTACTATAAAAGATTTAAATATATTTGCAAAGGTACATAGCACATAAATAAAGTAATATAAAATTGTAATAAAGAGTTTACGCTAATATGAAACACATTTATTTTTGTTTTTTGGGCTCGCTTTGCACATTCGCCGCAACATCTGCACCAATGGCGTTAGTCTCATCACTTTTTTCAATTGTTATCGGCAGTTTTTCCTCTATAGTGGTTTCTATCTGTGCTTTCAGCACATCCGTAAGACTTTTATCATCATCAAGTTCCAAAGAGTACTGCGAGGCCAACTCTTCTAAACGTTTTTGATTCTTCTGTAAATAGCCTGGTAACCAAAATATGGTTTGTACCATTCTGAAATTACATAGTGAATTTTGAGTTTTCATTTTATTTATACTAATCGAAACTTACTTGATTAAAATATAACCGGAGAAGGCCAATAACAAACAGGTAAAGGAGGTTTTTATCATATTCCAGTAATCTACAACAACTTGTTGATGCTTCATATTAATTTTTGATTTTTTAACTTTCACTTTTTTAAAAGTAATTTATTTAATATTTTATATTTTGTATTTTTTCAGTTCTATTAGCTTCCCCTAACGGTTTCGCATTTGATTGTAAAATATTATTTAAGTTTCGCGTAATAGATAACAAAGATGAGGAGTCATTTGTTATGGCTCACTGGTAACCGTGGGTTACGCAAATTAATACGTGTCCATAATATTCCAGCAGTGACACAGGGCACATGAGCCTAGTTTATCGCCAATCAATAGTTTACACCTGTTGTGGTTATATCTAAATACATATGTACATATGTATTTTTATGCATGCACAAATGTATCATTACTATTAAATTGTCATATATTCATAAACTTTAATTTATTACACTTCTTCTTAAAGGAAATGTTGTAATTGGACATGGTCGTGACTGTTGTAGTAATTATATGGAGAACGTTCTAGGAATTGTCGAAACCTTTTGATTGCTGTACGATCATTGATTTTTTGGATTTCATCCAAACGAATACTGTTATTTCATTTGAAGGGATTAGAGCCAGAATTGTTATTGTAATTAATATTAGTTTAGGTCCGTTCCATTTATATAAACCCCACAGACATGGAACGTTTACTCGAATCTTCCTTGATAAAACGTTCGTATTCATCTTTTCCTGATTACTGAGAATGAAATACTTAATCTCCTCGTCTTATATTCGACTGATCAAGTACTATTTGAACCAAAATACTTAGTCAACAAAAATTGAGAACTTTTTCGGTTCTGCTGCACCAAGATATTGCACCTCTTCTAGTACCGGTTTCGTCCAATTAGCTTTAGCTTTTAATGATTTCAAAGTCAAAGAGGATGCAGTTATCTACTATTCATAATTTGACTCTTGTTGGCAGCAAAACTTGTAGCCATGGCTCAAATTAAATTGAACAACTGCTATATTTTTATTGCCCGAACAGCGTATATTAAGTTTGCCACGAAGTTTTCAACATCTAGAAAGAAACGTCGGAGACCCTACCTAGTAGCCTGACGAGCTGAGTCGATCTAGCTATGTCTATGCGAACTATTTCCTCGATACAAACAGCGATCAAAATCTACTTTTTTATAGAAAAGTTTTTTATTTGACAATATATTTTTACGAAAGTTGGGCTGGATCATTTTTCAAGGCAACGGTATAATCACCGAACAAATTGTTCATTTCGAACCACTATAGCATTTAGCTGCCTTACAAACTGACCAATTAAAATCAAGTTCTATTATAACAACTTTTTTATTTGTGAAGCTCTTTGGTATAGCTGCGGTACGGCCGAAGTTAGTCTTATATTATTATTATGACTCTAGATGATCATATCGCTAAATAATTTACAAACCCGTGATACTAGGAGGCCACTTTTTGTCGGCAGTGCTGTTGTTTTCAGAAGTATTTTTGCTTTGATTTATCACGCCGCCAAGCGTTATACCCTCAAGAGAGTGATAAAAATTGCCGATATCTTAATTTTTGAAAAATTATTATGCAATTGATTTGATTCACAATTCATCATTTTATCTCGGATGTCTTTCGTAGAATCTCATCGAATATTGTTGCTGTAGCTGTAATATATATAGAAATATATAATAGTTCCCCAAATAATTTAAGGAATGCTGCCGAGTCCTTGTTCTTCTTTGTCAGATAAAATCAGATCAGTATATAGAAGTACTGCCTAATAATTATTACTGGCAACTATTCCATACAAAGTTTTTGTCACGAACCTAACGGCAAGCTAAAAATAATTAAAATATTTTTTAAAGATATAATATATAGACTAGTAATTATTGGAAGAGTGTTTGACCTCGTTATTTACTGGAAATTTATTTAAAAAAAAAGATAAAACGTTGATTTTGGGTGTACCGAATCTATATTACCCATCACAAATACAAAAAATTACATTTAATTGATTTTGATCGATCAATTTGTATGGCAGCTATATGCTATAGTGTCCGATATCTGCGGTTTCAGTCTTTCGACAGCTTCTTGGAAATATGGTAAAAGCACGTGTGAAAAATTTCAAATATACATATATCTAAAAAACTGAGAAACTATTTCGTGTACATAAAGACAGACTGACATGGCTAAATCGACTCAGCTCATCACGCTTATCATTTATATACATATGTAGGTACCATATATATTTATGCTGTTTCCGATGTTTCCTTCCGAGTTTTAGAAACTTCACGGAAAACTTAATATACTCTGCTCAGTGTATAAAAACGTTCTAAAGTAGAGTGTGAAACCTATAGGACCGTACTACTGAATAGCGCTAATCATTGGTTAGCTCAGAAGTAGCTTCGACGTTTTATTATTTATCTTGGTCTGAAAGAAATTTTATACACGTTTTGCAATCACATTATTGATTTAATTATTAAATTATGTTATTCAAGAAATAATTTGTTTTAAAGAAATTGCACGCGAACTCTACTACTCTTCCTCTGCGTGCCCTTCGATGATGTATTTGATTTTCTCTTCATCTTCGTGCAACAAGCTCACTTCCAATTGGTAGTAACCGGGCTGTAGAAATTCGTTGAACTTGTTCGAAACCAAAGGATAGTCCTTAAGGATGTAAGTGTTGTTTACAACCGGGCAAATAAATGGCGACGGTGCATTCGAGTATTTAACTAATGACTCGTAAATATATAATCGGTAGTAGAATTTCATGAAATCACAAACTCTCATGGCAGGCATTGGCATAACCCAATTGTAGTCCTTATTGGCATCTTCGGCTATCTTTAGGAATAATTTTACCTATAAAAGCGAAATTCAGATGAAATTGAGATTTAAAAGTTTAATTTTGAAATCAGTATTTTTGTTATGTAACCTTCCATTCATTATCCAAGTCCACCAGCTGTTCTGCTTCGCCACTGATCTTCACGCCGTCCTCACTTTCAATCACTTCCACCTTAATTTTGCCCACTTCTTCATCCTCCTTTACAGGTATTATCTGGTCTAAGATTAATTTGAAATTGGGCTCATCCTCTGCCCTGGTTATTATTCCATATTCAAACACGATTATATAAAGGCACAACAAATAGAACTGCATTTTAATATCGAAACGTTTGCTGTGAGATTGAAGCGTCGCTCGCTGAAACGCCACTTTTAATTAAATGATTGGAATGATATATAGCACGCAATTGCAACCATTAAAGGGTGTTTACAGTTAAGTGATAAACTTTTACATGAAACGGAAATGTTTTTAACACCGTATTTGCTTTTATTAACTGATATATACTGATAACTACTATTTAAATTAAGTAATACTGGTGGAGGAGGATCTGCATACAATTAAGTATAGTTACCTAAAAAGGTACTAAAGAACTATTTTAAGTACATATGCATAAAATTCGTTTCATGGAAATGTCGGTTGTTGGTTGCTGTTGTGACCGAAAAAATTCCCCGGTTCCAAGAAATAAGCAGCTTCTTGCGCAGAAAAGAATGTGTCCAGATCGATATCTCAAAATCTGAGGTTCGCGTATATGCAAAGAGACAGACGAATATGGTTGAATCGACTTCGCTCATCATTCTTATTTTGTTTTTGTTTACGTATTCTTTATAGGATTTCCGACCTTTCTTGCTGGGTGTTGCTAACCTCGTGACAAACTCAATATACCCTACATGGTGTATGAGTAATTTTTTAACAATTCTTTTTCACTCAAAATTAGTTTAAAATGTTTTAGAAATTGCCTATGACCAGGGTTCCGAATTTTATAGTTAAAAAATTTTGTATTAAAAGTTTATAAAGTGTAAATCGTTTAAATATATAAGTTTGCCGACCTAGAGTATTGTACATGATGGCTCTGTTCGAGCTCTAATTCAAAATGCTAAAATGCGAAGTACGCAAGAGCGAAAAAATGAAAATTCAAAAACCATTTTTTTTTAGTTTTTAATTATAAACTTGGTATTCGGAATTAAAATTTTTTTCAATCCGGTTTGCGGATTTAACCTTTTTTTTTAGTTTTCAATCTGGTGCTTGGGATTAAAAATTTGAAAATTATTCTTAAGTAAGATTTTCGGGATTTGAAAAATCGCGGCAACTATATTTACGCATGCCTATACATCATACTCCTCATTTTATACTAACTTTCGCATATTTTTCGAAAAATACTTTGTATGACGCTGATTATCATCTATTGTTTAGAAAACAATTGCAATGCAAATAAAACAGTCTGCTCGAATAATATATTTTTTCAAAACGCTTAAGCTTATTTATTTACTCAATTATTGTTTATGTATTAAAATCAAAAGCTTTTTTGCCATATAATGAAATCAACCAAAAATAAATATGCATTATTTTTATTAAGTATCAATAATGAATGCTTAATGCTCCCATTGGAGTTTAAGTACAATTACATACATGCACACATAATACTTGTATATATATGGTAGTTAGTTTTTGAGTATGTATACGTCTCCATATCCTTGATGATATATTACATATACATACATATATAGTTTAGCTGCTTCTTGATTTCCGATACAGAGTGTTGACACAACTATTAGAGGGTGCTTATCATTTTTAATGTCTTTTTGCTATTTTGTTTTTTTATTTACTTTTTTGTTTTTATTATTTTGCTTTTGTTATGGAATACTGGTCTTTTATTTTGCATAGGCTACAATATTTAGGTACTATATTTAAGTAGAGCTCTCTAAATTGCCCTGCAACAAATGTGTCTATATTAACTGTATTTAATACATAATTTCCAATAGTTTCATTCAATTTATTATTTCTGTTTTCTTTTTTTTTACACATACTACATAGCAAAAAATTTACACGACAACGACAATGCAAACAATTATTTAATCCCCTAAATTTTTAACCATACAATGAACAGATGTCTTCAGTTGCAAAACATTATACACGATAAATAAGTAGACAGTTCGCTAACAAAAATCTATAAATATACTTGTTGTGTTAATCAATGATCATGCCATTTTTTATATACCTACATATCTAAATGTTACCTAATCCACCACTGTTAATGCTGACTTTTTGTGTTGTTTTTGTAAAATTTATGTAGCTGAACAAAGTAGTTTTATACTTGTATATGTTGTATGCACTTATATAGTGATAGCATACATAATAGTGGGACATATTATATGACACACTATACCGTTATTTTACTGCAAATTCTTCAATTACGTCACGCTCTGCTCGCATAAAATCGATATCGTAAACTAATCACTGGTTCGGGTTAATGGTTGTTTAGACTTAGTAATTGCTGCAATTAACTAAATATAACGGAATATCTCTTGTGATTTTATATCATTTGAGTACTGTCAAGAGAATTGATTAGGCCAATAATTGTAAAAATATCACTTTATTCGTAATTTCTCAACTTCATTTGGTAGTCACGCCACAGTTATACAAACAAGATAACGGTTAAAGTTTTGGAAAGTAGTATAATTTTGAAATACGTTCAGAGGGTTGAGAGGCCTTTACATTTTCAGACAAAATATTTATGTATTTATATATAGATAACGGTTTTTAAAAATAATACGATGTTCAGAGCGTTCGGGTTTATAAAACACTTTGCAATATCTATTTTTTTTTAACAACATAAAAATATTTGAAATTTATAGAAAATCAGAGAAACGCAAAAATACCGCTATATTTGAAAATTTTGGTTAAATCGAGTTATTACATCACGAAGCATATAGAAAAAAATCGGAAGTCAAACTTGTGACCACAGCGAAGGTCAAAAGCGTTAAAGGAAGAATATTTTATTTACACTACTTTTTTGTTTAAACTTCATTCAAACAAATATTTAACACTTTCTACGCTGCAAAGTATATAAAAAGCGCAACACATTGAATTTGTTTAGCAAGAAATTATGGAACGAGCTGAGAGGAGAGGCAAACTATACATATGCATTAGCATTCATGTAACTCAGTGGCCTAATTTTCATAAGCTAAGCAACGATCTACAAGTAACAACAGAAAAATTCCTTTCGCTTCAGCCGATTGGTGCAGTTTTCGAAAGGATTTTATACACTTGCGACACAATTTCGTTATTTTGCCAATTACACACCTTCACATTACTCCACTCTAACCTATAAATAGCTCAGTTATGTGATGACAACGCATTGCAGGTGACTCTTATGTGAGAATATCGTGAATGGTTGAGGTGGCAGCAGCTGTAACGGGACTAGCGTTTGGTAAGTGCGTTCGATAGGAATGTGCCAGCGTTGTGCGACCGCGATTGTGCGTCTGCTCGCAATTTAATAAACGTCATTTTTTGTTATTAAAACTTGTCTTCGGCAGCACATTGACGAAAGCGGTATGTACTGGCAAAGCGGGCGCCACAAAACCCAAATCGGGTATTAGTGAAATGCTCGGCGCCACACGAGCACTGCCCACCTGTAGTGGTGAGTATGTATTGGAATGTTGCATATGGTTTATATTGGCATAGTTGCTGTTAATCACAGCGTTTTGTGGACGGTTTGTTATAGGTGCTGTGGAGAAATCCTGCATTATATGTATTTGTTGCTGTAGCTGCAACTGTTGCTGCTGCGGCGTTAAGGGTGATGTGCGTGTCTGCATGACCGCTTGTTGGTGGTACAGACCGAGCGGATTATTGTAGAAGTTGGCGTTTTGCCAGGCGGCGCTGTTGAATTGAGGCGCATTTGTGGCGGGCATATAAGATGTCATATGTTGTTGTTGTGTAGGAGCTGATGCAGGTGTTGGTGTGCTCGACACAAAATCGGACCAGTCATCATCGTTGCTGTTGCTGTTGCTATTGCTGTTGTAGGCATTACTTCGGGCGCTAATGTGCGCGCTGTTTGCGGACGCATGCGCAGTTGACTTCTGTTGTGGCGTTGGCGTGGGTTGGGCGTTGATGCTTTGTTGTTGATGACGTGGCGAGCGTATTGTGTTATTGCTGTTGTTGGCACTATTGATATGCATATCGGTTATGCGCTTTGGCGTTATGACCAGTTGATTGTTGTTGTTGCTTTTGTTATTGATGTTAATATTAGTGTTGTTATTGTTGTTGTTGAGGCGACTTGCATTACTTGGCAATTGCGGCGTCACCGGCACCGACACAAACTCCGACCAGTAGTCATCGTTGAGTGTGGAGTCCTGCTCCTTCATCGCTATTGAAGCGCTTATAGAGATCGAATTATTCTTCGTATGCTTTTCCGCATATGTATGTAGTGGCGATGTTTTTTGTGAAGAGTTCACATCTTTGGCAGCAGCCGGTATTTTCGGCTGTGAGAAGAGCTCTTCAATACGCGCCAATTCAGCGGGATTGATATTGGCGGTTGAGTCACCCCATTCAATGGTTGGTGTGGTCTTTGATGTCGGCGTATTGCTTGTGCTGATGGGTATAGCTTGTGGCAACAGTATGGCTGGACTGAGTATCATATTGTCCACAATCGACGGCGAGCTCATACGACTTGGCGTATTGCTAGCTTCCTTTGCTTTGGCAACTGCTGTTGGCAGAACGGGTGTAAGGGTATTGAGTGTCGTTTTAACATTTAGTTCCGCGGAGAACTTGGACGTTATTGTACTGGCGGGTAAATTGGTGCCAAAATTTGCATCTGCTGCAGGCACAGTTGCCTGTGGGGGCGGTGGCACTGATTGAAACTCCGTAAACTCGGTAAACTCATCGGTATCGAATTCGGTTGTTTGTTGTTGTACTGGTGCTTGCAGCGCTGGCAATACCGTTGCACTCGGCTCACCTTCTAATGTTGGCGGGGCGCCCATGGGTAACTCACTAGTGTATTCAGCAACCACCTCCAAACTAAAGCCGGGATTGTACTCCACATCGCGATACTCTTTCTTCACCACTTTCTCATCGATGATGATACCTGCCGCAGCAATTTCATAGTCAAAATCAATTGGCTCACTACCTCCTACAGCTGCTTTTCCCGCTTTTACAGTAGTCGCCAAGTCGGTCTTTGATGGTGTATAAATGTGTGTCTCCTTCAAAGGTCCCGCATAGGTGGATGTCACCACCGTTTCATCGTCATCATCAACGACGATATTTGCGCCCAAACGTAATGTTGTCATAGTTTTACTATTGTCATAGGGTTTGCTGTTACTGATGCTACTGGCAGATGTGCTACTACTGATGCTGTTAATGCCTGATTCGGGTGCTGTGAACTGATATGCGGCATTATCCAGTGCTAATGGTGACGGACAAGCGTCTCTGGTTGGCGATGCCGTCAGTTCGTTATCGTTTTTGCTTAAGGTTTCTGAAATGTTGACGTTTGAAAAGGTTGTATGCGATTGATGCTCGTCATCGGGTGTATCAAGCCGTGCAATAGACGGCGGCGGCTGAACCGCTTCAGTCTCTCGCGTGTTTGTCTCGCCCTTGGACCCTGTAATGAAGCAATACGTTTTAGTTTGTTTGTTTACAGATACATATGTTTAAATTTCATTTAATTAGAAGTAAGCTTAAAAATTCAAAATTATTGAGAGGTTCAAACTCGAAAATTATAACTTTAAAGTAAACGAAATAAAGTAGATACAAAAACTAATAGAAATTTCACTAATTGTAAATAAAATTGGTGACAGTGGTCATAATTATCGCACTTTTTGACCCTGTCACTGAAATTTTTTTTTTTAATAACTTAAAAGGCCCAATGAAAGCATCCTTTTTAATACCTTTGATGTTCTATTGGAATCCATAACTTGTCCCTCTAACACATTTACAATATGAATTACAAAAACAATTAAATTTGAATTTATATATGCTAATAGTGTTACGTTGACTTCACTGTCTTCTAAGTGATTTGTTGATAATATTCAAAAAAGTAGTAAACACAAAATAACCTAAAATACATTTTGTTTTACTTAAGGGGTTATATCCACTTGTGAATTTGAAAAAATCGACTTTTTTTGCAAATATATCGAATGATATATATCTTAAATTACTTATATTTTAAAATATTCTCCCAAAATTGAATATTGGTCTAGCAAAACTAAAATAATAATAAAATAGTTTCGAAAATATGAGCGTATTTGTAAAAAAAATTTTTAACTTAGCGTAATCGGCTTCTAATACTTAAAACGCGTTCTTCTCAAAATGCTGTTTTCAAAGTCGTTGAGGAAAATTTCTCGGAAACGGGTGGACCGACCGACTTCAAATTTTCACATGACTTTCTTAGATATACTTGTCAGATAATTATTAATTCCGATTTTTAAGCCACATTGAAGTTTACATTTTTTCAAAGAAACGGCAATTTTTTTTTTTAAAGCCGTCATCTTATCAAAAGTCTAACTAGTCTTCGATCATTACCGGCATTCATCAATTGTAATAATTAATTTTTTTCTGTTTTTTCGATTTGAGATTATTTGAAGCAGAAGAATTTTCGTCAGCGCCAGACAGCTTTTTTCAGATGTAGATGGAGATCGGCTGCAAAATCAACTTAACAAAAAAATTTTCAAAATGAATCAACGATTATTAAAACACATTAAATTCTCTATATGTACTTAATTTTTAATTATTTATTAAATAAAATGACTCAAGAAAGAAATTACGAAAAAACGCGTTTTTTTTTGCTTGCAAGTGGATTTAACCACTTAAAAGGCTGCAGTCAAACAGTTTGCTTTTAGAATAAATAACGACAACTTACATTTTTCATCAAGTTTCTAGTCTATGTTATGTCAAAAGTTAGGTTTACAGATAATATTGAAAAAAAACCCATAATTTTTATTGGTTATGTACTCATCAATCTACCACCAAAGAGCATCAAATTTAATTTTATATTATTTATTATTCAACTAATGAATACTAATATTAAAAAATTATAAAAAATGTGCTTTGGAAGAACTAAAAGTTTAGATGTTTAATCAAAATAAATGGTGCTCATAATTGAAGAC